TAAAACAAATAGCAAAACTCTCTAAACATACCTAAGCTCCTAGATATGAATTTGTATACATTATCTGACCACACTTTTGGCATACTGAGATCAGATGGGTTATCCTTGGATAGCTGAACACTTCCTTCACCTTTGATTTCTTATTATTTTTTCTTTTGCACTTGATTGCCACCTTATCATTACACTGATACATATAATTCCATTCATTCTTGCTTGCAGCCATAATGGAGACAGTTGTGCACACTGAACAATGTTCCAATCTGATTGTTACTACTCTACAAGTCTCTCCTGTCTCTTCCAGCCCTTCTCCCTCTTGTCCAAGTAGGAAAATGCTGATTAAGTTCCTTTCACTTGGAAATTTTGCTCTGATTACAGACATGATGACTTTTTGTTTCCTTTTCTTCCTTTTTTTTTTTTTTTTCCCACCTACTTCCAAGTAGAAGTAGTGGTGATCTTTCTCATTGTTTTCTCTGAAGTAATTTATTTGATGCTATTTATTCTCTTGTGTTTAGGTAGTGACTCACTAGTCTGGATGCTCTGGTGGAGGTTGCTGGTTTGGTGGACACACTCATACTGGTTTATGTCAACACAGAACTTCTCCTGTAATGTAGACTCAAGATAAATGTTTTGAAGGAGATAGATAAACTTGAAGTGTTCATAGCATTTCTTTCTTTAATTGGTTTCTTGTTTTTTTTTTTTTTTTTTTTTTTTTTTTTTTGGGTGCAATTTTAAAAAAGATAACTTCTTCCATCTTTGGAAGAGTTATCATAAATATTTTGTGGGTTTTCCTCCTCTTTCTTCCTGCCACAAGTTATCAAACCATTAATGGTGATGTGTACTAAAATAGTCTGTCAGTTACAATAAAACTGCTTGCTGTGGACTGGTCTATATTAATTATATTGAACAACAAATTATGGGGTTTTTTTAACATTTTTTTTCAGTTTTGCAGTTCAGTTCTACTCACAGTTCCTTGGGGATTGAAGACTAAAAATATGTTTAACTGTACAGATTGTTCTAGCTGTTAAAGAGCATTTCCTTAGTCCTGTAAGGACTTGCTGTGGGAGCAGCTCCGAGATGACTGAAGGGCAAATTTTTTTGGCAGAATGAGAGTCATCCATCTAATACCAGAACAACAGAGCATCTCTCTCAAGTAGATGCTACTGAAATTTTTTAAAAAGTGAAAAAAACCCTAGAAATCGGAAAGTCACCATCAAAAAAGTGCTTACCAATGCTCTGCCAAGAGCATTTATTTTTTTTTTTAAATAAAAAGCCCAGGAGCATCAGTTTTGACCAGTGACAGTGTCTGATTTTGCAATGCAGCACCTCGTGTTTTCATTCCATCCACGATGCCTTGGGGACAGGTTTTTGTATCTCAGTATTAATGGGCTTGCTGCCACATAATTGGTGAACTTGTTGCAATGAGAACCTTGGAATAAGAATTGTGTTTTGAGCTCTTCCCAATAGTGTAAGAGAGTAGGACAGCTAAAAAGTGACCCGAGTAAGTAAAGATATTTAGGATGGCTTTTGCTTGACATTATAGAACGCTGTCCCATTGACAAAATGTCTTAGAGATGCAATTTCTTCAATTTTAAGAACTGGAAGTTGGTTCAAATTAAATCTGAGAAGTTTATTGATGTTAGTGTACCAATTTTGAATGTCTTGAAAAGTTTGAAAGTGTAGGTTAGAAATAAATCTCTTTCCAGGCTCTGTATGTGTGTTTTGTGCAGCAGCTAAAAGAAACATGAGCAGATGCTACTCTAGGCCAAATTCCTTTAAATATGTTATTCAAAACTTAAGTTTGCACATAATTCTGGTGTCATACAGTGTTAATTGTTCGGAATTTTCCTTTATCCCTGCAGAAAATGCCTGTGCACCACTGTTCATTTCATTAGGTTAAAACCTGCAGGACTGTTGAACTTTTTGATGCTTGTTAGCATAAAGCAAGGAAGTTGCTCTTTTTGTTGGGCACAGGACTGGTAACCAGGAGATGAAGTTCTATTCTTGCCTCAGTCCCCAAGCCTTCCTGTGTGACCTGGAGAAAATAATTTAGTCTTCTTGAGACCTTATAAAGAGGAGGAAAGTTCTGACAGTCCTCAGTAATGGGACTTTTTCATTCCTGAGCATTTTCATGATGCCTTGGGATCCTGAAAAAGAAGGTACCAGATAAAGGCAAAGAACTGATTGCCTTTATTTTTGCAAAGAACATTTGTCGATGCTCTTCTTTTTCAAGATTCAAAAGCACACTTTGGAAAAGCCTTCAAGTCTCATTTCCTTAATATATCCATCTTGAGACATAAACACCTTTTTCACCCCTCCCTCTCTCTGGCTCATTTTTTAGCTTTTATTTCTTACTCCTCAGTAAAGTCTCCTACAAGTGATCCGTGTGTTTCTGCTCATTACTACTTGATGCCATTTTAGAAAAATGTGGCATAATTAAGTAGTAAGAGGAACTGGGCAGTAAAAGGGGTAGCTTTTGGACAATTCATTAAATACTCGGTGCCTTTTAATGGTAGGGTACTTCCTTTGCTCATGAATTATTCATTTTAATGCTTTTGTTATAATGGCGACAGTGTTCGGTCTCTGAGGCAGTTCTGGACAGCCTTCCTCTGCTGAAATACTGCACAGCAGCAGCTACCATTTATTTTATAAACTAATGCATCTAAGTCAATAACGCAGTGAGTAAATGTATTTTCAAAATCAAGAACATGAGGAAAGAGGACAGATAGCAATACTTAACTAAGGGGATCTGTTTTGCTGAAGGGTTCAGTTTGTTTACTTTTCTGCCAACTATTTAGGGATGTAACTTAAAATAAATATTTTTACAGATTATTGTGTTTAGTATTAGATTCAAATTATGTCTATAATGAAAACAGACATTAGTGTCTCTGCTTTATACAGCATTGTGCAATAAAGGCAGTTTAAAAACACTCCCTGTACACAAACACATCTAGTTTTTCTTTAAACTAATGTTTAAAGGTCTCTTTGAAACAGTTTTTTAAGATGAAACATAACACAACCGCATAACCCACAAAGAAAATGCATCTGAGTCATGTGCATAGAGAAATAAAAGTTTCTTTGTGGTATCTAGTATCAGTCTTTCATTAAAGCATGGACTTTCCTGAAGAGAAATTCCAGTGCAGACGCTTGAGGGCTCTCCCCATCTTCCCCCCGCCTCGCTACACTTCCCTGACTCTGGGTTAAGCCCCTGGGTCTTGGAAGGATGTGTTAGGGACAGTCCAGCGAGGAGCAGGGAATTTGGAGTTGGGAGCAGGATATTTGGAGTTGGGAGCAGGGAATTTGGGGCTGGGAGCCGGGAATTAGGAGCTGGGAGCAGTGAATTTGGGGCTGAGAGTAGGGAATTTGAAGCTGGCAGCAGGGCACTTGAGGCTGGGAGCTGGGAATTTAGAGCTGGCAGAAGGGAATTTGGAGATAGGAGCAGGGAATTTGGAGCTGAGAAGTGGGAAGTTGGAGCTGAGAAGTGGGAATTTGAGGCTGACAGCAGGGAATTTGGGACTGGCAGAAAGGAAATTTGGGCTAGGAGCAGGGAATTTGGGAACTGGGAGCAGGAATTTGGGGCTGGAAGTACTAAATTTGAGGCTGAGAGTAGGGAATTTGGGGCTGGGAACTGGGAATTTGAGGCTGACAGCAGGGAATTTGGGACTGGCAGCAAGGAAATTGGAGCTGGGAGCAGGGAATTTGGGACAGGGAGCAGGGAATTTGGGGCTGGGGGCTCCATGGCGCTGTTCCCAGCGGATACCAAGGTGTGTTCCTCGCAGCGCTGTCCCTCTCTGATGTGATTTTGGAAGCGCTGCATTCTCCCCAGCCGTGTCCTCACTCCCAAAATTCCTTTGAGCCAGAGAGAAGTGCGTGTGGGGGACGGAAGCAGTGAGCAGATAGATGAGTGATTAGGTCATTGGGATGAGGACGGAGGGGTTTTTTGGTTTTTTTTTTGCTCCGAGCTCCCTTCTCGTTTCTTGCTGATCAGATTCCCTGCGACCACGGAGGGCTGAAACTGCGTAAGTAGAGGAAACAAAACTCCATAGATGGATAAAGCTGCAGAGCTGTTAAGGAGCAGTGAAGAAGAGAGAAGTCTGAACTGAAAGTATATGTGGTTTCGGGGAATCTGAATCATGCAGTATTACTTTTACTTTTTCTAGGCTTGTGTTTCCTATGAACAAACCATCGGGGAGATAGAGTTTCTGATTTAGATAATGTCTTTGGGATAACACATCCTGCTGGAGGGGGAGTCCTTGCGGCAAAGGTCGCGCTCCGTGAGCGGAGAGCTTTCCCCGCTGCCCACGTCCACATTGTTTCTGCTGGGAATGGCAACTTTGGGCCTTTTCCTGCGGATTTTTCATGTGTTTAGGTGACCACCCCATGTAAAATGGAAGCACCAATAGGAACCCCTCCTTTCCTTTTTCCTGTAGCTCTGCTCAGACCATTCTCTGTCAGCATGGTAGTGGTACAAAGTGTGTGGTCTTTCAGCTCTGACTAATGCATTTTGTGCTGTGTGACTGAAAATGTCTCATAGTCTGCCAGGGCTGACTGAGGGTTGTGGAATGCGGTGCCTTTTCTCTGTTTTTCTCTGATTTATTTTTTTCCTTCCCTTTTTATTTTTTTTCCCCTTCCCTCTTTTTATTTTTTTATTTTTTTTCCCTCCAGTACAAATGTGTAGGCAGCTTGTTGAGAAACCTCGGGATGCAGGGGAAATGCTTGTGCGTTGTGGAATGCGGCTTCCCCTGGGAGACCCCAGCCAGGCGGGCAGTGAATGAGCAAAGTGGAAGAATGAGAAAGGGAGGTTGGAGGCAGGGACAGATAGGAAAGAGTGAGCGAGGAGGAAGGAAGGAGGTGGAAACAGAGGGGCCCATTTCCCTTTTTTCTGAAGCAATGACAGCTGGTTCTGTCCGGCCTCACATGACAAAGTGCTGTGGAGAGGAGTTTTTAAGCTGGAAGCCAGTGAGCAAGGGTGGTCAGCTGATTGTATTTTAATTTCTTTCCAGGCTTTAGTCAGGTGATCCCTGATGAGTAGCCAGCCCACCAAGAAGGGACTTGAGCACACAGGTAAGAGAGAAGCTGTGTACTCTACATGCACCTGGGGGTCCGGGGGAGGAGGTAAACAGCTCTAACATTGTTTGAATAGTTAAAAAATATCCTGACTTGCTTGGATGTGTAACACTGTGATTGTCTCTTTCAATGCTGCTGCTTCTGCTATTCAGTCTTGTTCTCGATTTTTTTTTTAATCTGTCTTTAATTAGAAGCAAAACCTACAGTTGTGTGGTGCTAAATATAGACCTGGGTATTGCATGAATATTGCATTTTGTTACTTTTTGAATAAAATAACTTTCCATAATGCAAGTGTGTCAAACTCATATTTAGAGGGGAATTCCCAAATACTTGAACTATGAGTCATAAAAAGTTAAAGGACCAGTACAACAGTTCAGGATAAAAACTCCGTTCTGCCTTGGGTGGCTGCTTTTGCACATGCTGGTAGTAAAATATGTCTTAAAAAAACCCCCAAAGATTCACAAGGCTGAAGCTCTTTAAACTCTGCTGACCATAACCTAGAAGTTAGGTGGCAGAGACGAAACAGATGACTGGGGAGGAGGATGGTGCAAGGGCTCTTGGTTTCATGCATCTTTTCTTTCATTATGTCTACCAACCTGGTGAATGAGTCTTCTTATGTGCAGAGGATGCTTCAAAGAGCTCTGGCTCCTTAATTCCTGTTATACAATGTCTTAGCAACAAAACAGGCTCAAAACCAGTAATAAGTGCACTTACTGTAAATGAAAGAGTACAGAATAAAAATTCCTGGTGAGTGTGACAGATAAGAGTGGGGTTTAACTGGTTTTATGTGTGGCTACTGTGCCACACTCTCTTCTCTTTTAACATTACTATGCAAAATTTTCTTCCTTACTGTTGTTTTTCCTTGCTAGTAGAGCTCAGATACTCTCTGAAGTTCTGAATAACTCCTGTTTAAAGATGTGTTCAGAGTTTTTTAAGGTGAAAAAGGCAGGCAGTTCCCACCTCCCACCTGGAGCTCTGAAAAACTCCTCGTGGTCTATGGTTGAAAACTTTATTTTGAAAACCTGTCATACAAATTTCCATGGTTTACTGGTGGCATTGCTCCTGCTCACTAATTTGCAGTATTTAAATAAAAAATATTTGAGCCATACCTTCTAAGAGGCTGATGCTATACAGAAGAGTAATAAAGATGCGTGGCTTTCCAGTTTTTTGTTTAATTCCATGATGTTTCTCTTTTTCTCATTGTTAAAAAGTCTCTGCTTGTGACAAGCTGGCTGTGGGATGTTGGTATTGTTTATAACAACAACAACTTGTTCTTAGATGTTCGGATATCCTGAGTTTTGATGTGGAGGAGACCCTGGAATGAGGTTGGGGGATAGTTGGAGGAGCGTTTCTGTTGGCTTCAGTGGAGCTTTATCATGTGCAAGCCTGAGGAAAAAGCCAGGTTTGAGTGGAAATCTGGGAGGATAATTACAAAAGCATGGGAAGCATCAGAGAGGTTGAGGGTAACAGTGGATTTAGAGCACGGTCTAAGAGCTGTGAAGTTGAGTTTTGCACTAATCATGGCACAGAGAGCTCTCCTCGGCTTCAGATAATCCTTGGCAATAGTTCTCCACTGAAGGTTTCCGAGATGTGCTTTTCCCTTTTTGTGGGATGGGAGGAGGAGAGGTTTCACAAGGTGAGGAAAGCTTGGTGGAGTGAACCAATGCCAGGCAGTAATGGTTCTGGACAGCAGGGACTGCTCTGCAGTGGCTCCTCTGCTTGCCATGGGGGCCAACAAAGAGACACTTGTGCCCCTTTGCCCTGAGAACTGGGAATTCCATGGGCTTGGGTGTCTGGAAAATTAGGCAATAGCCCTGAAAGTGGCCCAGCTTCCTGCAAGCCCTTCCACATTGGTTTCATCTTAAGCAAAGGGGTCTTTTATGAATGGATACAAATCTTAAGCTGCTTGCAGTTGTCCTTAGGGGAATTCCTGGCAGGTGGGCTTGTCCAGGCTGCAGCTGCAGAAATGCTGCCAGGGCACACCAGGGGTTCATGTCCTCACTCAGGGCTGCTGCTGTGGAGTGAAGGAGGGTCAGACACGTGGAAATGGAATGGGAAAAATGGGAAAAACTTTCAGAGAGTATAAGAATATTAATTTCTTTTCTTCTTTTCTTCCTCTTCTTCTTCTTCTCTTTTTTTTTTTTTTTTTTTTTTTTTTTTTTTTTTTTTTTTTTTTTTTTTTTTTTTTTTTTTTTTTGGTCTTGTTGTTGCCATTTTGGTTTTTGGGTTTTACTTCCTTTATTTGATGAAGTTTAAGTTATTGATTATCTGTGACCACTAACATCTTTAGTAATATAGACTGTCTAGTTCAAATATATCTCAGAGACAGGAAATGTTTTAGTTTCAGGTCTATTTCTACCATTTCACTTGTGTTCTTAATACATTTTCGTCTGAAGAGAGGGATTGGTTTGAAATATTTCAAGTGCAGTTCCTAGATTTCCACTTATTGACATGAGAATATCTCTTTCACATAACTTCTGACTTGTGATCACTTTAGGTCATGTTTATTTAACCCTGGCAATGCCTAATGATCATGATTGCCTTGAAGATCAGTAGGAAAAAATAAATAACTTGCCCTGAAAATGAGGAACTGATTCTGTGTATATGGCATTATAAAGGATAACATCTGCAGCATTTAATTTTCCTTAGAGCAGGGGAAGAAGAATTAAGAGTTTAACAGCTGTACTGAGTAAACTTGCAAGAACATGAGCTCTTAACACCTTTAAATACAGAGATGCTTACTTTCATAAATAAAACTGGTCTAAGAATGTCCAAAAAAGCCTTGAGAAAGTTGAATCACAATATTTTAATGGAATATTTATTATAATGAACTGGTTTATTATACAATTTATCATAGATTGTTATTATTAAGTTTGGAAAATTATTTTTTTTGTTTTGTTTTGCTTTTTTTTTTTTTTTTTTTTTTTTTTTTTTTTTTTTGCTAGATAGAGGGCAGACCCCGATGTTACTCATTTAGTAAGATCTCTGTACATTTCAGGGCTTAACTTGACACCAAAACAGTCATTACTTAAGTGCTACATCCCACTTGTCTTGCAGTCGGACAGCACTTTAGCTGCTTAAAACCAAAACCCTTCATTCCCCCCTTTCCTAGTTATGAGCACAAACGCCTGAAATGGGATTTTCCACTCCTGCTCCGCTAAGAGGCTTAGACCTTTTTGGTATTATTCACCAATCTCTCAAGGCTCCACTTGCATACTAACGCTCGGACAACCCCGCGAGGTTTCACTGCGGCCTGGTGGGATCCTTCTGGTGCCTTTGGGGCGCTCCCGGAGGGTTTTTTGGTGGTTTTTTTTGTGTTTTTTGGGGCCGTTTTGGCTCCGAGGGTTTGCGCTCGCAGCCGGGGAGCGGGCGGGGCAGCGCGGCTGTCGCCCTCCCGCGGCGGGACGCGGTACTGCACCGGCCGCGCCGCCCCGGGGGAATCGCGGCTGGAAAAACCAAGGATGGATCCATCACTTCTCCGCCTTTTTTATTTATTCACCCGCAGAAAATGAAAAAAAGAGACTGTTAGAGGCAGCTCCAGCAAGTTCAACGTTTCTGGTTTTTCCGTGATATGATGGAGAGGGACTCTTTACAAGGGCGTGTAGAGACAGGACAAGGGGGGAATGGATTCCAGCAGAAAGAGTTTGGATTAAGTATTAGGAAGAAATTCTTTACTGTGAGGGTGGTGAGGCACTGGCACATGCTGCCCAGGGAAGTTGTGGCTGCCCCATCCCCAGAGGTGTTCGAGGCATGGTTGGGTGAGGCTCTGAGCAACCTGGGCTAGTGGAAGGTGTCCCTGCTCATGGCAGGGTGTTGGAATTATATGGTCTTTAAGGTCCCTTCCAGCCCAGGCCATTCTATGATTCTATGGTTTTATTCATTTTTTTCTGTATTGCTGCAGGTTGTGTGACATAATGCATTGTAAGTGGTGATTAATACTCTGGAGACATATATTAAAAACACTCATCTTGATGAAAATTTATAATGTGCTGAAACAATAAAAAAATAATTTTTAAAAGTCTGTGTTTACTGAAATGTGACATTAAAGTTAGCAAAACAGATTTAGCCTTGCTGCAAAAGCAGAATGATTTTTTTACACGTCTGGATCAATTGGAAAGGCTGTTTGTGAACTTTGCATTATGTTTTGGACTGTAACAAAATGTTGGAAATACCCAAAGCTTTCCAAATCAAGTGTTTCATGTTAATATTTAATATCAATATACATGAACTGCTTCCCAAATCAATTTCTTCTCAACTCAAAATCTTAGGAGTTGAGAAGAAAAAAAAAACCAACCAAACATTCCCTCAGTGCTATATATACTGATAGTAGTAATAAGCTTCTAAAAGAGTCACGAGCTCTGACACTTAATCACTCTTTGTGATGAATGATTATTCAGAAGCGAAAGTCCTGCCACAACACACATTTCATTTGAGAGCTGTCGCTGCACCATGTACTCCAAACCTCAGTTCCACAAACTCACTATCCAGTCAGTTCCCTGAGGAAGAGGCACAGGCAAGGAGCTATCCTTGATCTGAAAATGTCTCTGTACTTTTGGAGCATCTTAAGAATAAGGGGGATGCTCAGAGAGATGTGGAGCTGCTTGCATGGGATTTGTCCCTGGCAGCTTTTGCCATCTTTTCTCTCCCCTGCCACCACGTGCACCACTTGGACCAGCAGCAGCAGATTGCACTTTTGTGGAAGCTGATGAGAAGGATTTCTGTGAGTCTGAACACAGAAGGTGCCATAGCAAGCATCATAAAAATCCCATACTATAAAAATGGCAAAAGATGAGGAAGTATGAGAAGAGTTAGTCAGTGATGCTAATGATGTCCGAAATTCTTCAGCAAAATCAGGACTCAGTACCTGCTCACAGAAAGCAGAATATGACTGAAATAAAGAAGAAAAAAAGGCTGCAATTTAAATTAAGCAAGCAGCATCTTAATAAGTTTTGGGGGTTTTAGGGTTTTTTCCCCATTCATTCAGATCATAGCTGGCTTTATGTTGAATCACCTTTTCTGAGGAATTTATTTCTGTGTGTGCATTTTTTAAAATAGTGTCGTGATTTGTCATTTGTAAGACAAGAATATGGGTAAACCCCAAAATAGTGACCTGCAGCTGA